TCTGCAAAAACTGCGGCACATGAGAATCATACTAGTTAAGGCTGGTGAAACAGAGCTGACTCACTGGCACTCCCCACAAGAGACCGTAAAAGGCGAGACGACCTTATCGCCGACATGAAGCACGGAATACAAGTGCGGTCGACCGGTAGAGCTAGAATGAAAACTCGCACCAAGGGCAACAACTTCACCGATAAATTCGTGGCCCATAATGCAACTGCCAACAAAACGTATCTCTTGAGTTCAGAAGGCACTGTGATGATGACTAGATTCATTTACGGTTCTGTGAGCCTCGCTGTTCCACGGTACACATGTAGATCGCTACCGCATAGCCCAGCAAGCTTTGGGTGCATTGAGACTCAAGAGCTGATGAAGTTTGCTGCACATCTGCGAACCTGAATCTTTACTATCGCATCATCTGGGTGCTCAATCCTTGGAACAAAATACAAATGAATGCGATCCTATAATATGCAACAAGCGAGAAATCAACATACTCGGGAATGGGAAGAGTTTCGATACGGATGTCATAAGAGGGCGGGTGCCACCGTAGAGCACGTTGTGAATGCAAAGTAGTAGTCATGGGAGTCTTCTTGGATTTGACCACTGCGGCACAGCAAGTACTACGCTGTGGTCAGGCGATCTTTGTGGGTCAGTTATCATTGAATCTACCACGACGTCGCCGGCCCGAAACAGCCGACTTAGACTATTATGCTAGTTCGGTTTCATTATTTCATACTAGGCACGTGACACTGTAGTTACACATCAGCATCATACCTCTTGCAAGATTTCAATCATGGACCTGGCTAGAGCATTCTGTAGCGCAATCCACCCGACTGATGTGCAGCTTTTTTTGCTTGTCTGTGTGATTTCTCTTCTCTTGCTTTGTCGATTTAATTTCAACTGAACCGAACCGTGCACCTTTCAGGTTGATCGCTATAGCAAGCCAGGCTGATCTCTAGCCTAGCTGGAACCGACGAATATCAGGAACGTGCACGCACATACCCATGGTCAGTGGTCAAGTAAATGTCTGATAAGTTTGGAACGAATGTATATAAGGTTCTTACTTACGAGGTTCAACAAATTGCAAAATAACTCTTATTTCGGCATGTAGTTGCAAGCAGAGCGGCAATTAATATTACCTGTCTACGATACCCTCTTGTAGAATTTCAAAACAGAAATTATAATAGGAGCGCAAGACGTACGTGTATATCAAGACCAAGTATTTTTTACTCGGTCGGAGCATGAAGATTTGTAGCTATTGATAAGAAACGCTTTATTACCGACTTTCCCCTAGATAGATTATTCAGAGAAATGCGTTCGTTTGGCAAATGAGCTTGGTCCTTGATTGCTGATAATCAGCTTCATGGAATGAAACAGTCAAGACTGAACGCACAGTGCTTTGTCCTAGTGGGAGGTGAAGCGCTGGGCAGCCAAATTCCTTCTCTAGATAAGGAATTGATGGGATAGACTTCATAAACAGTAAGTAAGAGAAAGCCTGACCCATACAGATCACTCACGCCACCCTCTCGGATGAGTAATGGTTCTACATTCCACTCACCGTGCACAGCAGCATTGAGAGCTTTGAACCAGGGGCCATCCAAATTGCCGAGCCACCAATCAGCCGTGCGGTCAATGCTCACCTACAAGATATCACGAGCTGCAGAATCATGGACAACATGCATCACGCACAGAAAGCTGGTTAGGCGATCGGAATTCATCAAAGGTCTCTCTGAGGTGATTAACCAAAGACTGAGCGATGGTTTGCAGATCCTGATCTGGAACAATGCGGAGGGACACCTTCGCAGTGACCTTTCCCGGGATTACAGTTGAGTCTTGACATGATAAGTAACATTCGGTAAGAGTGGAATGTGTGACTTACTCCTAGGTCCAGACACCTCTATGTCATGTACAGTCAAGGACGGCTCACTCCATCGCGATGATAACACAGAGCCAGGGGTTTGAGTCACATTGGACAGAATATTGTACAATTGCTTTTCGGCCTCGGTCTGATGGCGAACGCGGTTATCTGTAAACGTTACATCAGCCTGGCCAAGCAAAATTGACGCGCAGTGGATGTGACGAACAAAAATCGGGTATCGCCACTTTTCCTTCACCATCCATCAGGGTTGCAAGAAGCCGAATCCTGAGATGAACGTGAGTCCGAATCTGACCGTGGGGGTCGTTTGACGTACATATCAAACATTGGCTCTGGGGCAGCACCTCCTTCGACACCAGAGTGCAAGTCCGGCACACCGCTCGCTATCTGCACCATGTGTTAGTTTGAGGTACCGTAATAGCAAAAATTCGTACCTCCATTGTTGAGTGTACGACACCGCGGAGACCATATGTGATGCAAGGATGATGTTCAGAAATCCAGGTGGAGTTACTACCGCGAATGAACAAAAAGAAAAGGAGGTGATCGATACCAACATACCTGAGTAAGATGGCATCTATGTTCCCGATCAGGTGCTAAAAAATAACGGAAATGAGCGTGGTCACGCGAGCGTAACATGACGCGATCCCACTTTGTGTTCTTTTATTGCATCAACAAATCCAGCACTCCCAGTCTCCTCCTCACCCTCGATAAGGAAAACTAGATCAACGCCAAGAGCACGGTCTTGGAGCAGTTCCGCAGCAGCGCAGGCTACAGCCATGATAGGGCCCTTATTATCTGTCACCCCTCGTCCATACAGATAACCGTTACGGCCTGTCACAATGAAGGGATCGGTATCCCACCCTTCAGGAGGAGCAGAAATAACATCGTAGTGCCTGTTGTTTAAATCATGAGGGGAGATAAATCTTGTAAAACAGTTGTAGTACCCATAAAATAGTATCCTTGGCTTTGGATGTTTCCCTTCAGTTCCATGAAAAGTCCCTAGAACAAGAGGACTTCCCGCTTCACGCGTAGGTAGCTGTGTTGTTGTACGTGAGCAAAAGGGATGGGACGAATCAAGTAGCTTCACCAGAGCGGACTGAGCACCTAGCTGGTTCAAGCCCTTTTTCAGCCAAATTGCGGCTTGGCGACAGTCTTCTCTGTGGTTCAAGTCACTGCTTACACTCGGTATTGACACAAACTTGGAGAGTGCGTAAGTCATCGTATCTCCTACAAAATTGAATGATTGAGGGGCGTAGATCGTAATATAACATGCCTTGGGTAACATCCGAATCGGGTATTAATGCGCTGGCTTCGTGCAAATGGGAAAGATTGTCCTCGGCTTCTGGAGCAATCGCCCAAACCTGTAGGATTCAATATCCATAAGTTATCGACAAAGACTACAACACGATACCTTAACAAAACCATCGTTCGCCCCAGTAATGAGACAAAACGACTTGCGATCAGAGGAACAAGAGACAACAGAGGAGAGCACAATACCGTCGTGGGCTTCCCACGACGCTGTGCAATCAAACGAAGAAGACCATCTCTGTCAGGTACAGAAGTGATTCAGGTGGCGACGAAAAAAAAGTAAATTTCCATGCCTACGTGAATGTGACCATTGGCAGAACACGTGTAAAGATCAGACTGCATGATCGATAGCGAAAGAACGTCGACATTCTGGTATACAGATATGAGGTTTTGCACTAAAATATACGTGAATGCGCCTACTTCTTGAACAATGATCGATCTAACAAGAGTTCGTGTTTCGAAGTCAAGCACCTTTACGTGTCCATCTTGGCATCCAGCGTATATGGTTTCCCCAGAAGCGACTATTGAAAGTATAGCACCATGCTGACAATCGAAAGAGTGCATCATGTTGAGACCAGATGGGTTGCAGCGCCAAATCTATCAAGGGTACAAAGTTGGCTGATATATCCCTTGAATTGAGATGAAACAAACCTTGACGGTTTCATCCCCGCTTCCAGTGATAAGATAATAATTCTGCCCCGGTTTTTGTGCAAAGTGTCCTGTGCCTTCCCTTGTCGAAGGCAGAAGGGCCATGCAATATATATAGCCGAAATGAGCAGAATCGATGACATTTGTTGCTGAGATATTTATCAAGGCATTGGTCCCAACGAGTGCGCCGTGATTGGTTGTGGAAGACAAGCTGAAGTTGTTTGCTTGAAGATCCGCAGGGCGATGGGTGTATTGCGGATAACTATCGAAGAATTTGTGGACTTTACGAGTTGGAGTTGATGTGCCTGAGCCCCATTGCTCTTCCACGTGTCGGTCAAGCTGAAATTTAGAGAACCCTTGCCATTGAAGTGAAGTGTTCTGACAACCAATGTAGATGATCTGCATTGCGGGGTTCCAAGCAAGAGAAAATAAATCGCCTGCTCCCGTTTCAAGGTATGGATTCAGGATGTAGACTGGTAGAAAGGTTACTGTGGACCATACCTGACTTCCGTCAGTGGAAGCCGATCTATCAAAGGAGACAGACATACTCTGACAGTGCTGTCACCTAGTCATGGTAATAAGAATACAGAAAATCATGGTATTCAGGGAAGACCTACCTGAAGCACTAAAAAGCCAGCCTTTCTCCTCCGCAAGCTCAAGGGCCAGTATGCTTCCGGTATGACCACGAAGGGAAGTCTTGAGTGTAAATGTGTGTCTGTCCCAGACCTTGAATAGCATAGCCATTATAACAATAGCTTGATCAGTAAACCCTAGTACATACCGCAATATCTTGACCTTGACCACCAGTAAAGATATGGTCGGCATTTGCCATTAAACTGAGGACAGATTTATTTTCATCCCCAAGCGAGTGCAGCAAGCGAGGAAGGGACGCAGCTGAGCGTATGGGACGACTAACGGACGCTTGACCATCGCGTGGAATGTTAAGATTAGTCGAGAGAGACATGGTGGAAGAAACGCACGATGGGGAACAATCGTTGTGCTGGCACTGCTGGCCCAAGCTAGCGATACATTTACCATTATAAGACAAGTGCCCCCCACTCAAGTGCCGACACCAATAGAACTCCTAACGAATTGGGCCTGTCAGCAGGCAGACAAAATAATGAAAGCCATCTTACGCAAATAACGAATAATGTATACCCTTAGCCAAGACTGGCGCTGTGAGGGATATAACGCAACTCAGTTTGTACTTATATCATTATTCTCGGCTTTACGTTAGCTGACTTACCTTTTTCAACCAGAACTTTCATTGCCAGCAGACCAAATTCTATGGCATCAGATAGAGCGAAAATAGCGAAGGATCAGGTCAGTTGTCGTCAACATTGCTCAGGCCTCGTCTTCTTACGGCTTACAGGGCAATGCAGCCTTCAAGACGGGTGATTACCCAGCTGCGATCGGCCATTATACATCCGCAATTCTTGCGAATGCCGATGATCCGACATTTCCTCTCAACCGTGCAGCAGCGTACTTGAAACTAGGCAAGTACGTTTATTATGTTATATATCACTCATGAGTCTGCCACCGGTTAACCTGGGTTCGTAGGAACGAGGATGCAGAACGAGATTGTACGACCGTTTTGAAGCTAAGCCCCAACAATGTAAAAGCTCTGTTTCGGAGAGGTCAGGCTCGAATAGGTCTCAGTTGTTTAGATAAAGCCCATGCAGGGGAGTGCAATATATTACAGGCAGACATAATGAAGAATCTCAATATCTATCTTGCAGATTTTGTCAGGGCATCCGAATTGGAGCCCTCCAATCAGTCTGTGAAGCAGGAGCTTGTAGAAGTCGATAAACTAATTCAACAGCAAAAGCAGAGGCATGATAGTGCAGTGGGTACTGCAAAACATTACAATCCGTGATTGTTGAAACGATCTTTCACCTACAGAACACTACTCGTCCGTCAGGGGTTGCCCCAACGATAAAGCGGAGGCGCGTTCCAATACAGATCGTTGAGGATGCGTCTAGAGCGTCGCATCATCATGGTGCAGAGCTAGCAGTAGAAGATGCTGAAAAGCAGCTTGAAGGTTTCGGAGACAATGGGTTGCTGCAGCCAATTTCTTCCCGGGTGTTACCTCGGATTAATGAACCAAGCATCAAAACACATCAGAGCACTTCACCAGCTCCACAAAAGCAAACTACTCCAGCGAAAATGGATAGTTTCAAAGACGCTAAGCAGTTACGAGACACTGCAAAGCCATCACGCGTTGGTGGGGGGATATTCCGACCATCTGGCAACCATACACTGCTTGCTAGGGACGATAAAATGTCTGGCGCCATTCCAGTAACCAACTCGCTTGCAGCCATGATAAACACTGTCCAACAAGCTCCTATGACTCTCTTTGACTTCACAAAGATGTGGGAGTCGCACATGATAGACGAAGATCGTTGGAATATCCTCTCTGTATGTAATTTAATCTTTCAGCGCCACGTTTATAACCTGCATTGTTCAGGGAATACCACCATTGTCCCTTCCTAAGATGTTCCAAGCATCGCTAGAGCCAGTTTTGCTCTCATCAATACTTCACCATTTTGAACGAGTCATAGATCTACAAATCGCGGCTCCTAGTGATGTGCGTGAATATTTGGTATCGTTATCGAAGGTCCAGCGGTTCGGCACGATCATGCTATTCATGAACAAGGAGGAGAAAATGCTTCTCAAGAAGCTTTGGGAGACATGTGGAAAGCTTGATAACCTGATTGTCGCGTAAATAGTCACTACATAATGCACTCATTGCACTGTCTTTCATTTATGTAACGGACTCAGAAATGTTATCCGCTTTCAGCAACTCTGCGTCATCGATCGAATTTGAGTCGCAGTAAGTTGAACAGCCCGTTGCAACCTCAACTGGCCCTTCCTCCTCAAGCTTCATCTTTGACTGTCAATTCAACTCTCATAGGGCACACTAATATGCCAGATACACTTCCACATAGTACCCCCGAGGAATCTGTACCAACAGCTGTAATATCAACGCCCAGTGTGATTGTGAACGACGATCGAGGACAATCACTCGAGGCGTTCAAGGCAAAGCTCCGAAACGCAGAATTATACCAGTCTGCCTCCGATGACACAGCTGCATCTCACGATGACATAACTTTGCTGTATGTTCCAGTCTTTCAAGAATACAGTGTGTCATCGAGCTCGATTCAGGCTTACGTTGTCTCAGGCGGTTTCTACGAGCTCGGCGGTATGACGTAGACAAAGCACAAAAGCAGTTTTCTGACACAGAAGCGTGGCGCAAACAACATAATGTTGACGAGTTATTTCGTACCTTTGAGGCTAACGAGATGGAATCAGCCAGGAGGTTCTACCCTCGATGGACAGGTCGTCGCGACAAGGTCAGATATAATTTACTTTGAGTCAGCAATCCGATGGTAACATTGTGATCCACAGACCGGCCTGCCGGTATATGTATACCGTCTTGCTTCCTTAGACGCGCCACTGCGGAAGGAACTCGAGTCTGTGCCTTCGGACCGCCGATACCAGCGAATGTCAGTACACATTTAAATCACGCACATATCGTTACCTGAAGCGGCAGCTGTAGTGTTGTGCTTTACGAGGCGATGACGCGCTTTGTGCTGCCGTTGTGCTGCCATCTCGCTGCACCAACACCAGTATCATCAGTGACCACTATAATTGATTTGGAGCAGGTATCATTGTCTGCCATGTGGTCTCTACGAAGCCATCTTCAGGTGGCCTCTACGATGGCTACGGCGAATTATCCAGAGACCCTAGGTACAATCGCCATCGTGAACTCACCGTCTTTCTTTCCTACAATATGGAATTGGATCAAGGTCTTTAACAAGTATGTATATTTGTATTCTTTTAATACTTACCTCCTTCCACAGACCTGGTTCGACGAAGGCACTCGCAACAAAATTCACATCTTGGGCAAAGATCCCGGTCCTACGTTGAGATCGCTAATCGATGAGAGGGATATCCCACAGGCGTATGGTGGACAACTGCCATGGAAGTTTGAAGATGACCCAGACCTGGATGACGCAATTAAAGAAGTTATTGGTGAGATGCCCAAGGGTCCTGTGCTCTTTGTAGACGATTCCACGTCAAAACTCTGAGGTCGAGTTCTTCACCAGAATAGCATCCATTAATTAAAAGTCATTTTGTGACATTGCTATGTTACATTACAAGTGGGAATGTGTACGATGATGTTTAAAATAAGTCGACAATAAGCGGGGAAAAATTTACGAATCTATGCATCGTCATCTTCAGGTTCCGCAGTGACACCATCCTCATTCCAAACTTCAATGAACTAAGCAACTGTCAGCCTTATGGTGGTAAGGTGGAAGAAGACTAACCGTCTGCCTGTGAGCCGTTAGGTCGTGCTCCTGGACGAGAGAAGTAGTGGCATAAGGGAGGCGGGTCCACGTGATTGGAAGTTGGTGACGTTTGATAGCAGGTTTATCACCAATAGCGCTCTTCTTGCCGAGCACAAATTTAGAACATTTCCTGAGAGGAAAATAAAGATTAGTAGGATGGATGGACTTCTGTGCAAAGACTCACTCTTCTGAAAGCCCGTAAAGAGACTTAAGATGGGCTTTAAGAAGCATGACAATCCCGATAATTATTGAGCTTCTCATGACAGCAATGTTGATGTGGGACATGTCGGGTGGGGCAAAGGAAAATGGAGCATTTGAGATTTCCTGATCATTTGAATGCGTAGGAAAGTCAGACAGTGGTGGCTGGTGAGATGCATTATGGATGGGTCGAGTATCGTGCAGCTGCGCTAGGAGATGAGAAGGCGAAAGAAGGTCGATCACTTGCATGCCAGCGGTTGATAATACAGAAGTCAAGTGTTTAATAACAGTAATGGCTTCCTCTTGTGTTCTGTAGTCAAGAGAGCCAAAATTCTCTGCCATGTATCTTGCGAAATCAACATCATCCTAGATTTCCGTGAGCATTATGAAATGATATAAGGCAGTACATTACCTGTGATGATTTCAAAGAAGGGTTGATATCAAAAGATTTTAGGAGAGCCCTCAGAAAGTCTTGACGAGAGGCTCTTTTCTCCCGCACGAGAGAATACCACCTCTGGAGCAATGCCACTGGTTCTGCTTGCATTCGATAACCTACACTAACGTTCAGGACATGTCACAGTAAATAGTAAAGTCAAACCTTTGACGGCGTCTATGGAAATCTTTTTCTGGTAGTCGAACGACTGTCTTGCACTAATGATATATCGGGCATTCAACAAAGACGCGTGTTTACTCCAGAGTATTGCGTGGAGTGCATTAGCTCGTGAACTGATGGCGGCATTTGGACAAGTTTCTAATGCAACAATGACAGGGAAGGACTACCGAAGCTGTGGTCAGTGAACAATCATAAGAAGACCAAAGCACGTACTTGCAACGGATGGGCGAGGCCCTGTTTGATAGTGAAGCTGAGGATGTCAACAGCAACATTCTGAATCTGAGAGTTCTGAGACAGTGCCGCATCCAAGATTGAAGATATGTATCGTTGAACAACGGCTGAGCTGACACTGCATCTTTATTAGTACAGCCTTGCGAGGACGATTGTTTGGTCTACCCAGAGTCAGCAAAACCATCTGTGTTCCCTACCAATTCTGCCATATCCACAACTCCCTTGCCTTTGGTGCCTCCTGCGGACAATAAGTATAGTGCAAGGGTACAGAATACGGCCCTAACCTTTCTGCTCCTCATGGTGCTTCATAGATTCGGACACCAAGAAGTCGTGCATGATTCGTAAAAGTCGCCCGCGACTTTCAAGATCAGAGGAGTGAAAAATATCATCCATGATGGAAGCGGACCGCCCCAGTGTCATCAATGTTGGTTGCGCACGGAACAAGAAGCCTTCATGAAGATGAGAAGGCCACGAACCAGAGACAGCGATGAGGCTTACCGAGACACTGAAGGATGCGTCCCTTTAGACCAACGTCGTTGTACTTCTCATACAACTCCAGTAAACTCTTATAAATGTGCTCTACGATGGGTCCCTGGAAGAAATGACAATGAGTTTGGTAAGTCAGGTAGCAAAACTGAAAGACGGTACAGGAGACACGGAGTTTAAATCTGAAACGAAGTCTTGAATAAATGTCAAACTACTGAAATCGTGAACACATTTGCGGTAGCTTTACCTGGATAATCATCGCGGAGGCGGTCAAAGTCGCAATGTTCACCGAGTAAAGCGACAATGAATATGAGAATAGATAATGTCCTGTTTTCAACCGCTGTCATTTGGTAAGAGGATGGGCGAGCGATAGCCTGTTGCAATCGAGCTAGAGCATGACGTGAGTATGAGTCTGTCCAAAAAAAGTCTTTATACCATTGCAAGACTTGACTAGAGCGACTAGACGATTAAAATCGTGGGTGAGATGTTGCACTGCTCCGCACATGCAAGCTACACTTTCCTGCAAACTCTATAGCACGACTGGGTAAATAATCAATACTAGTGATCAGGTAACTTACCACAACTCCACCGATGTGAGATGGTTTAACAATCATCGGTTGCAACACAAGCTGTAGTTCCTGACCAAACTTTACTGCAGTCTTGGGCATGTGAGGTATTGATATACGGAAAATCTTGAGCAAATAATCGGACACAACGAGCTCTTCAGACTGATATACGTTGAGATTTTTGTGTGCTTATGATGGTAGATTCTTACCGAGGAAGGGTTCTTAAGATACGGGAGCAAAGTAGACGCGTTTGCTCCTGAGAGAACAGAGGGGTATGCTGTAGTGAATAGATATATAGTCCTGACACAGTTGTGCACAGTCTGCCAAAAGAATTTGTCAACAATATCGGTACGATGAGCCACGTGCACGTACGAATCCCGGCAAGTCCGAGGCATCTACCAGGCCATCAATGAGAACTTCGCAAATTTCGGAGTAATTCCCTCGCAGATACGACGCGCTAGCATCTTCTTGGCTGGATATTACTTTATGTAGCATATCTTCCAATGGTGATTGCCGATCCTTAAAGTTGGCTGATACGCCCATAATGACCGATACCTTGGAGAGAAGTGGCCCCTTGTCTTGGCTGAGACCAGATGACAACACTGGACGGTTTTTAGGTAGTCCATTCTGCGATGCAGCCTGGAACCATAGTTCCTCAACCGTCTTGATGGCTAAATCCTTTACTGTATCATCCTCATCCAGCATGCGAAGGACTAACTTTGTCGCGATATCAATGCGTCGAGAAAGATCCTCTGTGCCGGCGTAACATTGTTTTAGGAGTTTAATCACACGTTTCCGAACTCCAAGTCCCGTATCCTGGAAGGGTCAGCTAAAAGAGCCTCTAAGCGATGGAATATTCTTACTGCAATACGGTCGGCAATTTTTGTGTAATAGTCCCCAACAACCTCCGGGGACTCTATCATGTATTTCCCAATTAGTTCTACAGCGGCGTCACGCACAGCTGGGGAACTATCGAGTAAATGACTTTCGATCGCCCGACGGACATTTGACTTGTGGCTTGTCAGCAAATGTAAATGCCGGAAGAACTTGTTCACGCACTGCTGCTAAGATGCTAGAGTCACTGTTTACAATTTGCCCAAGTGCTCGTAATGCTTTTGTACGCATGAAAACAGCGGGCGCATCAAGTGCAAGGAGGACGACATTAAGAATTGGCCCGAAAGAATTTCTTAGCGTTTGAATAGTCCCGATCTCTTCAGCATAATGATCAATCTTATTTACTTCCTCCTGGGAGCTGCCAGAGTGTGTCAACTCGAGCGATTCAGAGGCTAGGTGGGATAGAAGCCTACCCGACATCAAAAACATCATTTGACATATCCTTCCAAACGTCCCCAAGGGCGGACTTG